CATGGTGTCTACAAAAAAACTTTCACCATTGGTATCGTCTTATTCCTCAACACCTTTTGCTATGTGTCAAGAATCTGAACTGGTCCTTCCTCGTAGGAAACATTCTCATCAATGTCCACATTAACCTAACTCAAAATGTGAGATGGATCTGGCTCGTACTTCCGTAGCATCGATACATGAAAGACATTGTGGACTCTGTCCATCTGTGGTGGCAAAGCAAGTCTGTAGGCAACCTCTCCTACAAGGTCCAAAATCTCAAACGGTCCAATAAATCGTGGCGACAACTTGCCACTCTTCCTGAATCTCATTAATCCCTTCCGTGGAGAAACTCGTAGAAAAATATGGTCTCCCACCTCAAAAGATAACGGCCGTCTTCGCTTATTTACATAGCTCTTCTGTCGACTCTGAGCTGTAAATAACCTCTGTCTGATCAATTTAATTTTCTCAATAGTCTCAAGTACAATGTCCGGTCCTAAGGCGGCTATCTCGCCCACCTCAGTCCAACAAACAGGAGACCTAGTCTACCACACAACGCCTCAAATGGAGCCATCTGAATGCTCGCCTGATAACTGTTGTTGTAGGCAAACCAATAAGTGGAAGGTGATCCTCCCAACTACCTCCCAAATCAAGCAAACATGCCCGAAGCATATCCTCCAAGATCTGGATAGTACGCTCCGACTAGCCGTCCGTCTGTGGATAGAATGCCGTACTAAGATACAATGCTGAACCAAACGCTACTTGAAGTCCTTCCCAGAACTTCGAAGTGAACTTAGCATCCCTATCTGACACAATGGTTACAGGAACTCCATGTAACCTTACAATCTCCTTCACATAAAGTACATCAAGCTTCTCTGCATCATCTGTTGCCTTAATAGGCAAAAAGTGAGCCGTCTTGGTCAATCTGTCAACGATGACCTATATGGCTTCATTTCCCCTCCGTGGCCTTAGAAGACCTGTCACAAAATCCATAACAATATGTTCACATTTCCACTGCCCTATAGGTAATGGTTGCAACAAACTAGTTGGTCTCTAATGCTCGGCCTTCACCTGCTGATAGGTAAGGCACTTAGCTATAAACTATGCAACATCTTTCTTCATCCCGTTCCACCAATACTGACGTCTCAAATTGTGATACATCTTAGTACCACCTGGATGAAATGCAAAGCGGGAAGTGTGAAACTCCCGTAAGACGTCCTCACGACAAACCGTGGGAACCACCAATAAACCCCTGAACTGTAGACCCCCATTTGCATGCAAGGCCCAATCTTTCACTGTCTCACCACTGGAGATCAAAGCGTGAATGTCATCTATATCCGGGTCCTGTCTTTATGACTCAATCACTCGTACAACAAGAGTAGGCTGAGCCACAAGACTAAACAAGAATGCTGGCTTACTGTCAACATCATCATCAAAACAATACAATCCCATTTCTGCCAGATCTTCAAGCATCTTTCATTTTCGGATGGCCAAACTAGCCAAAGTTCCACGAGATTTTCGGCTTAAGGCATCTGCTACCACATTTGCCTTGCCCGGATAATACTGCAAGTCAAAATTGTAATCTTCTAAGAACTCAACCCATTTTCTCTGTCTGTTGTTCAAGTCCTTTTGGGAGAAAATGTACTTGAGACTTTTATGATCCGAGTATACCTCGAATCTCTTACCATACAAGTATTGTCTCCAACACTTCAAGGCAAATACAACTGCCACTAACTCCAAATCATGAGTAGGGTAGTTATGCTCGTGAGTCTTCAACTATCGAGGCCCATAAGCCACTACTCTACCATCCTGCATCAACGCACATCCCAAACCATCACGTGAAGCGTCATAATAAATTACATAACCCAAGCCATGCTCAGGTATCACCAACACTGGAGCTATAGTCAATCTTGTCTTCAACTCTTGAAAGGATAACTCACAGGCTTCATTCCACGTAAACTTGATCCCTTTCCAGGTCAAACGGGTCATAAGCGCTGCCAAACGGGAGAAATCCTTCACAAATCTCCGATAGTAACCCGCTAGGCCAAGGAAACTCCGGATCTCAAAAACATTCTTGGGTTGCTCCCAAGTCAAAGCTGCTTCAACCTTTGATGGATCCACCGACACTCCACCTTCTGAAACAACATGCCCTAAAATTTTCACGTCCTGTAACCAAAACTCATATTTCTCATATTTGGCATACAATTGGTGCTCCCGTAAAATCTGTAAAACAATACTCAAATGGACCTCATGCTCCTCCCAAGATCGTGAATACACGAGAATGTCATCCACGAAAACTACCACAAACTAGTCCAAATAATCGTGCAAAATGCGGTTCATCAAGTCCATGAATGTCGCTGGCGCATTAGTCAAGCCAAAAGGTATAACAAGGAACTCATAATGCACATACCGTGTACAGAACGTTGTCTTTGGGATATCCTCATCCCTAACCCGTAACTGATAATAGCCTGACTTCAAGTCAATCTTTGAAAAACAACTGGCTCATCTCAACTGATCAAACAAATCATTTATCCTTGGCAAAAGATATTTATTCTTGATGGTAGCACGATTTAACTTCCGGTAATTAATGCACAACCTCAAAGAACCATCTTTCTTCTTAGCAAACAAGACCGGTGGCCTCACGGTGACACACTCGGTTGAATGAAACCTTTTATCCTCAAATCATAAAGCTGCCTCTTTAATTCTTCCAATTCAACTAGCGATATACGATACGGTACAATAGAAATCGGTGCGGTACCTGGCATCAAATCAATAAAGAACTCCACTTCTCGGTGTGGAGGCAACTCTGTCAAATCCTCCGGAAACACATCCAGAAAATCACGAACAACCGCAGGATAATCCTCTTTCACAACATCATCTTCTTCGGCTATAAGGCTAGCCAAGAAGTAATCTCCACGACTCCGTCCACGAACTCCATAAGACGATAAAATGTGGGAATCACTCCGATCTCCCACGAAAAAGAAACAGTCTCCCTCGGGAGTGCAAACTGTAACTCTTCCTCTGTAACAGTCGATCGTGGCATAAAAGGAAGCTAACAAATCCATCCTGAGAATGACATCAAAGCTAGTCATCTCTAGGAGGATAAGGTCAAACACAAAGGTCCGCCCGGCTATCACAATGGAACAATCCCACACAACTCGACTCAAAGACACTGAAACCCTAACTGGCGTATCAACACACAACGCCCGATCCATGAAACTGACCTCTAACCCCGATGCAAGTGCAAATGATGATGATATGAAGGAATGAGATGCACCAGAGTCAAACAAAACACGGGCCCAAGAACCAAACACTGGAAATATACTTCGGAGAACTGACGATCCAGGAGATGCATCAGTCGGTGCAAGTGCAACGACACATCCCTGTGATGTCTGTGCCTGAGAACTGCCAACCTGAACACCTAACTACTGCACTGATATAGTAGAAGTATCCCTCCTAACTGGCCGTGAACCCTGAGAGGACATGGCAGGCTGTGATGGTGGTGGTCTGAAACCTGACAGAACCGTAGCCGACTGTGACGGCCTCTACTGTGACCCTCTGCCACTACCGGTGCCTACTCCCTGATTAGGACAATTCTTAACCTTATGGCCCTGTTGGCCACAACCAAAACAAGCCCTAGAATTAACCTATGTCTGTGGACACTCTGACTTGTAGTGACCCAGCTAATTACAACGATAACAAATGACACCACTCCTGGCAGACCCTGCTGGCATAGGAATGGTAGGAGCGGATCGTGCTGACTGCTGCCTTTGAAACTGAGATGAACCACCCTTGTTCCTCTACCCTGAAGGTCCCTCTGAAAATGACCCTGCATTCCTCTTTTGTTTCCACTGTTCCCTTCTTGCTTCTTTATCTTTGGCCTCCACCTCTAACATTAATGCCCTTTCCACTATTTTAGAATAAACCTTGATGCCCTGTGCTATTAACAACGACCTCATTTTGTAGTCAAGTCCGGAGATAAACTTCCGAACCTTATCAACTTCATTACTCACCATCTCTGGAGTAAAGCGGGAAAGAGACGTGAACTTGTTCTCGTATTCTGTCACTAACATATTGCCTTGGATAAGGCCAATAAATTGATTCTTTAACTCCCACCTATTGGAGGCAGGGAAATACTTCTCATAGAACAGCTCATTGAATCTATCCCAACTCATCTCTTCAATTTTATATTGATTTGTGATCGATTTCCACCAAAACTTGGCATCCTTTGTGAACTTGTAAGTGGCTAGGATAATTTTCAAGTGATCCTCCGTCACATCCATAGAAGTCAATTGAGTTTCAACTTGCTCCATGTAGTCATCCGCTACTATAGGATCTGCACCACCTTCAAACATTACCAGCATCAACTGAGAAAACCCTTTAATAATCTTGAGACGCTTCTGTGCTGGTGTCTCCTCCACTTGCACTACCTGTTGTGGTATCGGTTGCGGCTGAGTAGTAACGGTGGCCCTCAAGGCCTTCTGCAACAAGCGATTCAATTCTAGTTCCGCCGGACTTTCACCCTCTTCAACGGGTGTTTCCACATTATTCCTTCTTGTAGGAACAACTCTTGGGGCAATTAAATCCCGAAGAAGTGTTCCTCATCAACTGGCTCCGCCGGATTGGAGCTCGAGCTCTCGCCAACATCACCCCTTGTTGGCCTAGGGCCAACTTCCCTGGGTTCCTTACACATTGTTCTATAAAACAAAAAAAAAAAAACGATTCAATAACGATAACACTAAGGTCTAACCGTGAACAACTCAACATAAAAGGATGCTATACTAACACTTAGCATGCAAAACTAGGTAATGAACACATTAATATAAGCTTATAAGCACGTAAGCATGTAAACAAGTAAATAGTTAAGTATGCTTTTGCACATAATAAAACACTTTAACAATTAATCACATAAACTATGCGAATGACTTCCCATGCAACCCCTATATAGGCCTCTACCCGTCGTCCTAATGATTTTCGAACCAAGGCTCTGATACCAAATTTGTGACGACCCTAAACTGATACCATTTAAAAAAAAAAAATTTGACATGACCTCCCTTAAAAAGGGGCCTATAACCACCTGCTAAAAAAAAACGCAATGGCCCTTCTTGGCCTTTCAAGACATATCCGACCTGTCCCAACACATAATACAATTAATATATTCCAGCATCCCATTCATCCATTCATTATATCTCAACATAGTTCAGTTTATAGTGGAACAACTACATGCTATTTAATCCAAATATCATAATTACAGTCCCAAAAATATAATTAAGTTCAAACGTCCATGTCTTACTATGTTTAGACAATTTATAATAAAATTACAGCTCATGAGTATAACTATAATAGTAAGAGTCTACAAATCTCTATACTAAATATATCAAACTAAGGTTTTACAAAAAATATGGGACTTAATACAAAAATAGCAAAAAGGTCTTCTAATCCAAATTAGGCCTGTGGTGGTACATCATCCGCCACTTCTTTCCCGTTTCCTGAAAAATGTTAAATATAAGAGGTGAGTATAAGCTTAGTAGAAAGTGATTAAGGCACACCTCTTGAAACCCCGTGAATTCACACCATGAATAGGAATAAAGAAATTGGGATCATACCATGCCGGAAAAAAAAGAATATAAATAACCACAGTACCACATCATTAATCCGATACCACAAATGAATATGACATGCAATGATATACCATGCCATGCAATGTCACTCCCCATTTTCCAAAACCATTTCCATTATCGTTTCCAAACCGTTAGTGAACCCGTCCCATGGCAACTCCATAGCGGCACGAGAGGAGGATTGGCCATTGTCCCTGACCCATGGCAACTCCATGACGTCATTTGGGGCCCAGGTAACTCAACCACACTAGGGCGATTTCCCTAGTCCCATCTAGGCCTCACTAACGCCGCGATCCCTAGGCAACTCCTAGGCGGCCGGGTTTTTCACAAAAATCCTTTTCAAAATTCTTTTTCAAAATCCATTTCATTTCTTTCAAATCAATTTTTTTTTCCCATTCTATCCCAATGATATGCATGAATGTCTCATGCTTCTCAATGCCATGCCAAATGAATGATTTTTACAATTCACAAATCAACATAAAATTTTCATATTTCACAAATCAACACACTTCCATATAGCAAATTTTAGCAAATTAATCATAATAAGCATGAAAATTTGATACTTAGACATGTTTTACACCATAAAAAAACTAAAATTATATTTCATACTCTCTAATCACCAAATTAGCACTAAAGGCACAAAAAGCTTGAATTAATCAACAATTTACATGCTTCATTATCATATATATCAAGCAACACATAGTCACAAATTGGCACAATATATATAATAAAGTAAGAAATTTTCTACAAATTAAGCATGTTAATCATCAATTAAGTAGAGTAATTCACAAAAAGACCCAAAAACATGTGAATTAGAACCCCTACCTCACTTGTATGCAAAACCCCCAATTTCTTCACCTCAAATCCTAGGATTTTCGAATCTCTTATAGTGCACCAACCAAGGAATTGCTCCCATCAACTTGTTGATCTCATCGTGGGCTTCGAATAGCCGCAAACGGCTCTTAAAAATACTAAAAAATGAGGGAGAAATCAAGAGTGGAAGCTTGAAATAAAAAAAAAAAAAAAAAAAAAAGAACCGAGAGGAAGACAGGGAGAGAGAGCAGATGGAAAAACTAAGATCAAATGTGGTCTTACAACCACTTAAAAGGGGTGTGGGTCCCACCCTTTTTCCTTCTCCTTTTTCTTTTTTTTTTTTCTTTTTTTTTAAATTCTCACCACCACGCACAAATATATATACATACCATAATTACATTACATGTATATATATATATATAAATAAAACACAAGACATTACACATGCATACTACTTGTTACTTTATTCCTCCCTCTCCAATCATTTAACGGCACCAGATTATTTGGTTTAAGTACCACATAACTAGACATAGCTTCATCTCCTGGTTATCAGTTAGGGGAAGGCTTTACAGTACTCTTGATGCTAAGCAAAAACAGTATAATATCTATACAAATTAATGTTGTTATGTATCTTTGTCTCTCAGAGTGGGAATCTATAGATCGATCATCTGTTTTTCAAATGTAAGTTCGGTGTTCACATTTGAAAATTCATCCAAGAAGATGCTGGATTCTAGCAACCGGTCAGAATTGGTGCAGTGGTGTTCATCTCATTGGGATTAATTCTTCAGGTTTTTTGTTCCACAAGCTGATCTTAATTATCTGCTTCATTAATTTGGTTGGAGATCGAGGAATGCAAGGCCTTCAGAGATCAGGCCACCGATCATCTCAACACATAATTTCTCAAATCAAGTCATGCATCAGAGCAAGACTTGCTACGTACAATTAAACTGGGGTACTATTCTGATATGAGGCTAGTTACCTCTATACCAGAGCTGCGTCTTCTATTCATGCAAGGTTGCTCCACTGCGTTGTGGACAATCCTGGCTTCTGTCATAACCTAATTCATCTCCTGTGCTTGCATCTCAGCTTATAGTACGTCAATTTGATATTACTCCTCCTTAGTTGCTTAGAGGTATTTTCCTGTATTTCAGTTGCTGTTCCTTTTGTGTTATTTTCACTGGCATTGCCACTGGTTGTTGCCTTCAGGTTTTTGGTGCCCTCGTGGGCCTTTTGTAAATTCTTCCTTTTCTTATATACAAGCTTATATTTTAACTAAAAAAAAAATCTCATAATTTTTTGAGATAATCAATAATTATTCGTAATTTTGTGTACGCATTTGTAATGTGTGGCTTCTTAGTGGTTGGTTTCATTTCCCTCCACAACAACTAGATGAAAAATTATGTTTTGTATACATGTAAGGGTATGATTATACTCCAATATCTCATATTTTTTCATAGTACGTAACTGATAAAAAATTTTGTGTTCCGCATTCGTAATGTATAACATTCTTAGTTGTTGAATTCATTTCCCTCTTCAACACACGTAAAAGGGTGAAATACAAGAAGAATATGATTATATTCCGACATCTCATATCTTTTTTAGAACATGGTCCAAATACCAACCTGGTGTAATTTTGTTGAAATTCATTTGTAATCTATTTGGATTTGAATTGCCTTAAGATTGATCATATTGATCTCACAAAATTTCATATAACTGAAGCATTGTTGTGAGTTTCTTTTCTTTAACTTCACAAATTTTAATTCCAAAACTCAATTCCATATAACTGAACATAACCTCACTTTGAACCAACGTGATAGACTCAAATCAACAATTAGGTAAATCAACTATTTATAACCTAAGTTAGGGTTGATAATTTCAGATAGATAGATGCATATCTTAGATTGCCACTGAGTCAAAAGTAGTATGTCAATTCAACTATGATAGGTCCTTGGGCACAGAAAGGGTGTCTCTTCATAAGTACCAAAACGAACATCAAATGGCCCATCCATTTCATAAATAATTTAAATATATATATACCAAATTGATCAAATTTAGTAAAAAGGGTATGCCAGAATAATTTTATAACAAGCTAGTACCAAGAAAAAAATAAGAGATTGGGTTTTAACAAAAGGACCATTCGACCCACAAGCATGAGTTTATGCATGAAAAAATGGAAAATTCACCTGCAGATGAGGTTAAGATGATGGATATCCTAATTTCCATATGCTTTGGCAAGAAATATATTTTTCATTCAATAATAAAGACATAACAAATCCATTCAAATTTTAATAGTAATTCCAAGCATTTCTGCTGTGTATGTGTGTGTATGTGTGTGTCTCATTGGAAAATCAACAATTGGTTTATATCACTCCCAACAATGGTGATGCCATTACTAGGGTTGACGACAGATCAGTTCAGTCAGACTTCTCTTGCTAAAATTCAGCAACTCAGCTCTTACAACCTGCATCACCAAAATGATGTTCTTACAAGCTGCGACACAAATGCATATATAGCGGTAATTGAGCATATATATATAAATGACCACTTCATATATAGAAACAAGATTCCAGGGATTCATGTAATGCCTTATAACTTCAAATGCAGTGTGACATGGCCATTGCTTCTTTTATTACCCAATAAATAAATAAATAAATAAATAAATAAAGGTAGCCATAGTGTTTGGCTTCTCAAGCTGATGCAGTAATACAATGAGCTATATTTTCCTATAATTTACTTGAAATATAAAGCAAAATATTTTTAATGGCGGCATAATTAATATTGAATGAGGTGAAATTCAAGAAGATAAATGGTCCTAAAGTTGTCATTTGAAACATTTACATAAGAATAATTGAATCATAAACTAGTATTTTCGCGCTGCAACTGAAATGAATAGACAATCGCATACCTTTAGCAACTGGTTTATTGTGTACTCAGGGAAATAAGGTCTCATTATTCTTTCTTCATTGTTTAAGTACCACTCAACCTGAAATGATAGAAGAAATATTAAGCAAAACAACAGTTTGTTTGTGACCGTATTTATTGGGGCGTGCGCGCGCGCGCCCACACACATATATATATATACACTGAACACAACCTTACGGATATAAGAGTCAAAAGAACAACAGAGAAGCCACTTGGAAGCTAGTCGAGAGTAGCGAGCAGTAGTATCCGCGACGATGGCCTCCTCAAGAAATCTATAGCGATTTATTCTTTCAATTTTTTTAATTTCCAGCAAGAATTCAATGGCAGTCTTGAGCAGGCCATTATTAGTGAGCTTCCCCACACGTTCTAGATTAACCTGTACATAGCATGCATCTTTGTTATTTAATTCAAAGGAGAATGAAATTAATAGTTCTTAATTATATAATTAAAAACAACTAATTATTGAAATGGAATTCATTTCAACAAACCAAGTGAATGACTGCAATCTTCCATTTAGGATACGTCAACAACATTGTACATTCCATGATCTTCTGTATCGTGACAATTGCATCATCCAACTTCTGCAGCCTTTTGTTTGTAGTCATTTGATGTCATCAGACAATCAACTCCTTTTGAGGAAGTGCTTTCTAATTTCAATCACAACAAACAAAATGATCAGGAGGAAAAAATTTAATATATATATATATATTTCTGCAGAAAGATATAAATAATATATATATATATATATATTTCTGCAGATCTATTATTATATATATTATTTATATCTTTCTGCAGAAATATATATATATATATATATATATATATATATAGGATTTCTTGAGAACTATCAATAGCATATTAACGCATTGTTTGAAAGTCCAAAAAATAACCAAACCTTTATGTTAGCTATTGTCTGAGTAGAAGGTTCAAGTTGAAGAGAGATACACATTTAATAGAAATAAAACAATAATTTTAATTCTAAGTTAAACCTAATAGAATCTTTAACTAAATCAAGTATATGAGAATAGCCGGCTTAAATTTTTTTAGAAAAAAAAAAAAATTAAACAAAAAAATTAAAAATTAAATGTCCAAATTGATTTCAAAACATTAAAAAAAATAGAAAACCCTAGAGCTAATTGTGTTGATTCACATTGAAAAGATTATAAAACATCAAGGAAACGAAATTTTTTATTATTGTATTTTACACTCCTAAATTTATACTTTATAAAAAATCTCTTCTCCCTTATGAATTTCTAGATCAGTCCCGATCTAAACTGTGATCATGTGTGTATATTTCAATATTAATTACTTCTAAACAAAACATGCATATGTATGTATATGCATTTGTATATATATGAAGATGCACAACAAAGTCACCACAAATCCTAAAATCTGTTAATAATAGAAGAATCATCTATGTGTGATCCTAAAATCTGTTAATAATTGAAGAATCATCTATGTGTGTGTGGATATATATATATCAATGAAGTTGCATCACAAATTAAGAGGAATGTACGTACTTAAACATTAATTCGATCTCTATCACATGCACATACAAGACACATATACAGCAGAAATTCATGATAAAAATAAAAATAAAACCCCAACTAGTTCAATTGTCTTGGGATTTGACAGAGGAAGTGTGAGAAAAAAAAAAAAAAAAAAAGCCTACCCATCTCTTTACTTCTTTTTTTTTTCGGTAAATACCCATCTCTTTACTTGTTCGTTCCCCACTCATTTTTCTAGTAGATTGATGGATTCTTGTGGTACATGCAATGAAGAAAAAGGAAGATGAGCTTTTTTTCAGAATATAAAATATATATATATATATATATATGTATATATATATATATAGATACATATATATATAGAGTTGTTCCAGTTGTAAAAGAATAATGTTACTCAAATTACGTAAATTGAAATAATAAAACAACCACCAACCAGAAATAATTGATTGAATTCTACTCTCAATAAACCTATTTACTGTAGAATAAGGAACTTGATCGGAAACCTATTTATAGTAGAATAAGAAACTTGATCGGAACCTTCTTTAAAAGAGTTGAAATTGCCAAAAATTCAACCTTCTTTAAAAAAAAAATAACAAATGGAAAGAAACCTGATTATTAATTACTAAAAAGCAAAATAATTATAATCTTACTTCTAATAATTTTCTGAAATCTACCAGAAACTGAAAAAAAATAAAATAAAAAAATCAATTTTAGAGTCTTGAACAGTAAAGTTGTTAATTTGTGCGAGTTAGCCGAAAGATACCTGAAGTGAGGATCTTGTCATAAATTACTTTTTGGGGTTAACCATAATTTTATAAGGAGACAATATTCGCACTACACTTTCTCCAATTGCACTTCATTTATTTATCTTTTTTCTTGTAAAGGAAATGATAAAAAAAGTTATTAAATTCATTAATGTACAATTCCTTAATTTATAATGTCATAATTAACTTTTATACAACTTTAATTAATAA